CCTCTATTGATCTATCTACGGGAGACTAGCGATCGCCCATTGTGAGTCTCTGTCATCCTTTTTCATGAACCTTCAATCCGACCCTCAATCCGAGGAGATGTCGCAGATTTAGCTCGCGCACTACCATCGAAAAGTGGGTATGAGATGTGTGATGAAGAGAATAACCTCGAGGGATCAAACGCGTTCTCTAGGTGGAATATCTGTATTATGACCTTCCCATGCCATAAACAATCTCACCACACACTTGAAGTTTCATGCGTTTTGCTTCACTTATCTCCCGTGTTTGTCTCATAGCTGTCTTGTCCTATATCGTGATGAAACTACTCGTATAATTGTCGGAGATACAATGGCAAGTTGTTACATGTATACGATCTATATGATGTTCGCAAATGGCGACCGACCCTCCAAAAATAATGTCCATCCTCTAAATCTGTCTGGCAAAACATAGAGTGGCTCGTAATTGTACAAATGTCGCGTAGACACTCCCATCTCCGTGCACAAAGACCATGTTTCCATGAAGCATCGCAAAGCCAAGGCGAAGTCACCATGCACAAAGGCAATCTCCCCTAGTCCCCGTTTACTGTATGCCTTGAAATTGAGATGACCTTGGATATCGCAACCTTCAATGGTGGCAATGAAATGATATTCGGCCCTGTCGTATGCACCTGCAGTGAGCTCGATGCAAGCCGAGCCATAAGATCTGACGAGAAATACAAATGCAGTGCGCAGCACAAAGAATTGGAGTAGTCCCGGGGCTGGGTTGATGAGCTCCCTTGCAAGGGCATGATCCCCCTGCTTGCTTGCAACAAGGGCCTTTAAGATGGCGGGGATATCATGTGGGAGTTGACCCTCGCTCTCTACGATTGTCTGCAAGATATCCATGGCTTTGGATAACCTGCCTTCGCAAAATGCTACCTCTGCAAGTCCCTCGAGTGCATCTCTGCGGACAAAATCTCCAGTACTTGTGCATTGCAGGAGAAGGTCTTCTAAGTGTGTGTTCACCTGGGCAATGTCTTCCCCGTAGTAAAATTTGGCCCGCCAGTGCCACAACTTGAACCGCAAGCCCCACATATGATCTTCCGAAGACTTCACAAATAATTCGTCTGCAGATGCGGATGTGTACATCCGGGCTGTATCTAAAAAAAACCAAACCTTGGCTTTCGTTGGTTCACTGAGATACTCCCACGACTCGGAGCGTTGAAAGCCCTCCAAAACCTGTTGGGATTGAAGGACGCGGCCTTGACATCTGTATATGTCTGCACATGCGATAACACATTGGGCCGCCATTTCGTGCTTGCCGGTGGCAATACAGAGTGCCCCAGCAGCTTTGAAGGCCTTCATGGATTCTGTGTGCTGAGAAAGAGTCATGTAGAGCCAGCCGAGATTCCACAGGCAGTGTGCTTTGGACGTTCGCGCGGAGGAGTTCTCGACAATGTTGAAAATTGCAGGAGTAAGGGAAGTTGGGCGAGGAAAATGGCACTTCAAGCACTGCAAAAATGTCCAGCAAGCGGGATAAGTCACTTCAGGGATGTGGGCGAGGCCGAAAGCAATAACATGCTCGATGTTGAGGTGATCTGAGGTAATGATATCAGCATGACCATCTCGTTCTTCCGAACACTGTTGGACGGTGCAATAGTAGAAGGTGCGTATCCCTTGCAAACATGTGGAGTCAGGTGGTGGCAACGAATCTCGCACATAATGTCGAATGGGTGCTAGCATTTTGACGAAGCCGTCTTGACGATAAACGAGAGAATGCCTCCACAAAATATCACATATAGTGTCGATTTGCAGGGTAGATGGCAAGATATATTTCGACAGGGCCTCATTGAGACCCTGGGGTAAGAAGGCGATGACAGCCAAAGTATGCCGAACCTCCTCTCCGAGTTTCTGGATTGACGGTGAGTTGAGTGACAGCTGCATGGTGTATGACAAGCTTTGCAGCTTTCCCTCGCCATGGTCTAGTACGGCACTGTGCCGGTCCTTCCATCTCTCCAGCAGCATGACCGGTGACCAACCGTTTTGCTGCGCAGCATTTGCAAGTAGATTGATAGAAAGCGGGTGGAATTCCAAGTCCTGAAGTAGGTTTGTTATTCCTCCCTCTGCATTTTCATGATCAGCCTGGCAGTAAATTCGAAAGAATGCCTCCTGAGCAGAGCTCGAATCCAAAGGTGGAATATCCTTGGTAATCCATGGTACATTCGGTGCACTCCTTCTACTACGCGATGTGAGAATCAGGACGGTACCAGGGATGCATGCGATTTCAGCAATGACTGATGGTATTTTCCCAAGCGCCGATGATGCACTGGCCTCTTCAAAGGTCTCAGCATTATCGAGGACAACAAGTGCACTAGAGGAACGAAGAAAGGTAGATATCGGGCGCAAAGTATCAATGCCGGCGATCTCTATGCCCAGGGCTCCTGCGAAACGAGCCATAAAAGTTTCGAATGTGATAGTCAAAGGATCCAGGCCATCGTAAGTCACGAAGAAGCGCCGATCAGCAAATTTTTCGATGGTAAGTGGTTCGTGAAGGATGGCTTTGGCAAGAGAACTCTTTCCCATGCCCCCTGGGCCGATCAATGCGATATGTTCATCACTGACAACGAGGGTCGTCAACTCTGCCACGAGATCATCGCGGCCATAAAACATGGAAGGTCGTGATGGAGGCTCAGTTGGGTGATACCTGATTGCATTTAGAGGACACCCACAACCCGCAGAAAGCAATAACTTACTTTAGAACATTGACACCAGTTGTATTACTGTCGAGTCCTAAAGCGAATCTTTCCACCCTCATGGCAATGCCAGCGATCGCTTCAGTCTTGAGATGACATTCAGCAGCAGAAGTTCAGGTTGAGCTACAGAGACGAGACGCACATTAAAGAGCACGAGGACACGGTCTATATCCTTTTCCCAACTAGCGATCTGGTCGCGATCAATTGTAGCAGAGAAGAACCTCTTCAACAATCCTTTTTCCTTCCTTGAAACTACCTCATTATTGATATCGTTAACTGATCTGCTTGGCGCTATCAGTTTCCGGCACAGTGAAATTAGTTTTGCCTACAAGTTAAGCTCCAATAAAGCATGGGCCAAGTATCCTGGTAGATTGTCGCTGGTAATGTCTTTGGTCACTCTTTCGAGGATTTCCCTGATGATCTTGCATTTTTTAACTATCGCCAGGAAATCGGACTTGTTCTTGATCACTGACTATACAGACCTGAGAATCTTTTACGTTCATTTTCGAGAGTTATACTGACGCACCTGCACGATCATCAGGATATTGGCAACTGTTTTGAGTATACCTTTCGCCAAGTTGATAGGTACGAAGTCTTGTGTGACTTTGATGGCTGCTATAGTGATACCCAGCAGTTGGCTGATATTGTCGTCCTGGGACTCCTTGGTTTCAGAGGAGGGTTGTTTAGCATTTGGGCTGTCCTATTCTAGATCAGATATACAATAATGACGCCTAGATATGTTCCTTCTTGCCTTTGATTTTTTGGATCTTTTCGACTTTGGGCTTTTGAATAGCATCGCCTCAGCCTAAGGTCGTGTGGCAGACCCTGGTCGGTATTCCAGTGGATTTAAGTTAAATATTGAGTGAGTGTCTCTGCCTGCCTTGAGTCACCTTGGACCCAAACTACTCGGTGTGTTGATGGTGAGAAAATGCACAGCATAATGTACTGGCGCCCGATATCATTGTCTGCTTCCCTCTTAGAGGAAGCTTATCAACCAACTCTCTAGTTGATTATTGCGCTTGCACTGAGCTTTCGAAATTGATAGTGCTGTTCACGTTCAGCGATGAGATCAGCTGCACGTGATTAAAAACTGTCTCGACTCACCACCTCTCAAACTCTTCGTCTCAACATACTGTGGTATCACTGGCTCTGTGAAGGGCACATTCTTTGCACGCCCTCTGAGTCAATGATATTTTAAAAGCATGCCCTGATCATCCTATAATTATCAAATACTGCCATGGTGCCTGCATGCAACAGCTCCTCATGTGGTTCTTGCCTTTGCACTCTCTCTTCCCCATGGCTCATGTACCAGAGAAGATCATATTGCCTTCTCAGTTCATGCAGGCTGTTGAATTAGTTGTGGTTGCATTTGCCTAGTCGTAGAAAAGTTAGGGTTTCTCCCTCGTGATATCTCTCCCCTTTCAGCTCATCCAAGACATAACAGCAAGTTCTTCCTCCCTGTTTGCCTGGGTACATCGTGGTGTCACCAGAACACTTGTCAGTGGATGCCATGTCTTGACAGCACACTCTGAACTCGGCTTGCCCAAACTGCCTGGGAGGACAAACTCATATACCTCGTACCTGCAATGGTGCAGCTGTCAATTTGCAAATAGGTGTAAGGAAATGAGCGGAAGATTGGAGAAGGATATGTAACAGTAGTTCAATTGTGTTGTGTTTGTTATTCTAAGGTACAGCACAAATAAAAAGGCTAACTCAGCTTCCCACAGTGGTCAACGAGTTGGAGGAGCCAGTCATTTGGTAGTGAGCCACTGAGCAGCTGTGCCCCAGAGAACTTCATCAGTAAATTCACACATTGCTTAGCTTCCTTTTTTGCAACTTGCTGCCGGCTAATTTCCCAAAAAGGCGCAGATAAGTCCCTCGCAAGAATGGTGACACCAACTTGCTGTAAACTTGCCACAAGGCAATTTTAAGTCGAAAAAGCAGGTGCCTCCTCTTGGCCATGACTTATTTCAATCTTTTCTAGCTTTTTGGGCAATTATTTTTAACAGTAGCACTTATTTCTCCATTGCATTGTGCAAATTGTTGATTCTTATTTCACTTATCTCACTTTTAATATAAAAATAACCACAAAAACACTGGCATTTTGTAAATTAAGCGAGGGAAAGAGCATGCAAGTACTAGTAAGTAGCAAAATATAGACATCAAGCAAGAACAAGCATGAGAGATTCAATATACTATGCAGCACCTAGTAGTAGTGAATGACTCTACAACATCGTCAGTTAGGGAATAGTAGTGAACAATGAAATGGTACTACCAGTCGTTGTAGATGAGTGCACGCTCATCGTCAGAATCCTTGCTGTTGAGAGTGGCGGGTGCACCACACCTCTTTGCAGCAATGTCCTTGGTGCACTCCCAGATGTCCCAGATGACCGACTCTTGGAGGTGGTTGATAGACTTCATGTACCCCCTGGTCACCTCACTGTAGTTTGTGTCTGAAAACGCCTTGAGAGCGCTACTGGGCTTGCCTGAGGCTTTGTTCATGGTGTGTGGGACCTTGATGGCCTTTCCTTTGCTGTTGACTTTCAGTTCACTGACACATGTGTCCCTGCTGAAAATATTGAGGGCACGTTCCATCTGAAACATGAGAAATGAGTTAGTCATGGTATGACGAGAGAATGAATATACATGCCACTGCAGTGGCAAGACTAAGGGCGCCCTTTGCGTGTGTGACCATCCTGTGGTTGTCAACAGTGCCCCAAGTAGCGCACCCATGCTGTATGAGAACTTGAATGAGGAGTTCAGATTGAAAAGGCTGCTTGAATTTGCCGTCCTTGGTGACAGTCCCATACAAGAAAGCTAACTTGAGATGTAAGTTTTTCACAAAATTTTTGCGATCCTCATCAGTCTCCACATTGTCCTGTGATGACATGAAGTGTGTAAGTACTGTGATGGCAGTAGTGCCAACACCGTTGTGCCACTCTGATAGCTGCTGGGTAGCCTAATAAAAAAATAAAACACAATCAGATATGAAATGTGTCAAAAATGACTTACTAAAGCCATAACTGGCCCATCAATGGTGACCGTGTGAGGTATATCCTTGTAGACCACATTCCAAGTGTCTTGCATAATAGCACAAAGTGTCGTCTCTGACTCAAGTTGGCCCCAAACTTCATCTTGATCCCCAACGGCGGAAATGAGGGTAGGAATGAAGACTGAGCTCCACCTAGCGACTGCCCAAGGACCTCCAGGAAGGTTTTTGATCCTGTAAGCAGAATGGGGGAGGATCTCCACCTCTACAGATTTCAGCATGGCGCCAGAAGTAGCACTTGAGATGCTGGAAAGACTATGAGTGTGTGTGATAGAAGACTTTGTCTGCTTTGCCACAGGAGCTCTGTGTTTGACGCCAACATTAGTCTACATAATTTGTAGTTAGTATGATTTAAAAATAATAACCGAAGCTTACTACCGCAGAAGTGACCTGCAAGGATACTGGTTCAGATTTGGTCTTGACCACCACAGGCTTGACATGATTCACAAATTCAATATCAGATGAAGGTGCATCTTCCTTGATTGCAAAGGCATGATTATCTGTGAAGTCGTCATTGACCATGAAGTCGTCCTCAATCAGGTCATCCTCTGGCAGGGCATCCTTGATCTCATCATCATTGGTCAGGATATTTATGAGTTTGTGCTTGACACTTGTCACAGTAGAGTGGGATGTTTGAGTTTGAGCGAGAGCTGCAGCTCGACGGATATCAGCATCATAATATCCTCTGGGGACCTGCATAGAAGGAGGAGGCTTGAGGTCAGATTCCATATTGGTGTTGGATCCATAGTTAACGAGGGAAGCTACCACTGGGGGAGCCGCCTCAACATTCATTTCATCGTCAGCAACAATGTCAGACTGAATTGTGTTGAGCTGTCGAGGAGTCAGATTGGTGCTTCAATAGGCGTGAATGGTTTGTACTGAAGTATCAGGAACCTTAGAAGAAATCTTGATGCCCTGGTAATGCAGTTAACACAATAAAAAGAACTGGGTAATTGAACTCACCTGAGCAGCCCTTGGTTTAGACATACGGGCAAGGGCTTGAGAGCACTCGATTGATTTGTCCAAATCATTGTCTGAAAATAGGGTTGTAAAATGATCTGCCACATTGTCAGCCCCAGCATTGGCGATTGTGTCAATGGGTGTGAGTGGGGCACCACCGCTACTAATAGTACTCCCCATAGTTAGTTTAGAGGAGGGAGCAGTACTAGAGAAGTTGGAAGGCATTGTAGATAATTTTTTCCTCAAGCTGGAGGATGGCTTTGAACCAGCAGGAGGAATATCAGTCCTCCAACCCAAGATGCGCTCGGCAGCAATACCATAATCTTTAGTAGAGCTATCATCATGGACCATTAGATTGAAAAAGAAAAGAGCTGTTTCAGTGAGATGGTGCAACATAGTTGAGAAGCAAACATCTTACACATCATCAAGCTTCTTATTGTCATCACGTGCCATTGTTGATTCATCAATAAGGCCCGCAGCTTGGATTGCATCTCTCACTGGCGTCTTCACTGGTAACACTTTCCTCTTCTCCTTCTTCTTGCGTGACCCTGGCACTCGCACCTCTTCCTCAGCATCACTCTCAGGATGTTCGATGTTAGCACCGGTTGCTAATTTACCTCCCGCTCTACCACCCTTGCCATCAGCGCTAACGGCCTTATCCTCAGCCATAGTTGAGTTGGAGGTCTCCGTGGCTTTTACAGCCTTTTTAACAGGGTGTGGGTGGGGACGAGTAGGCTTTGGCACATCAGCTCGTTTAGCAGCTTGATCTGTCTCCATTTGTTTCTGAAAAGCAGCAATCCAGTTATGTGCTTCAAGTTCAGCCATTTCACTTGCCCTCTTTTCCTCTTCTTTGCACTGATCGTCAGCAGCCTTTTGAGCTTTGGTATGTCTCTTTACGTGGCCTTCGCCCCCAGTCAGGATATAACCTGGATGCTGAGTTGCATTTTTAGCTCGGGTCATCACATGTTTCGAAACTGTGCTGGCAGGCTGAGACATGGTATCGATGGAGGGTTTGGGAGGCTGAAGAAAGAGAAAATTTGACTAGTGGTGGCTAATGACAAGGTGAGTTTTGTCACAACTCTCCAAAAAATGTTGCCTAAGCTGACTCTGAATAAATGCATATGACCCTACTTTGCTCTGACATACCTACTAATATAACAGCACAATATTTTGCCATCGCCATTAATATTGGGAGTCTCCAGCATTTTTCAGGCACTCCAATCCAATGCTTTGCCTGTGAGACATCGATGTCACAGTTCACCAACACCTTTCCAATGAGGAGATAGTCTACCAACCCTTTCTGCACTGTGAGTACTAGTTTTCATTCATTGACACAGTGAGACTGAGGTTAACCACCGCATTTCCAGTGTAGCACTAAAATCAATGTTTGCCAAAGCCTGTTTGGTACAGTTTGCTCGTGTCTGGGCCCCAAATCTGGCTTTTATTATCAAACTGGTTTGTCACATTGGTGCTGATAATTACAGGCAGTTGCACCCCAAACCTAGAATGTGTCTGCCTTTGACATCTTCTTCAATTGTCAACATCCCAGCACAGCACATATGCCTTCCCGTCATGCTCACCACCTGCTTCAGCTTCCATGCCCAGTTCCAGGATGCTTGCACTGGTTTCAAAACCAGTCAGGTCTCACACAACACAGGCGCTCGCTTCACCCAACTTTACCTGTTTCAGGACTGTCCCCTCAGGATCATCCCCAGCCATCTCATTCACCCTCCCTCCCTCAAGACTTGTCACCACCCCCTTGAGATTTGTCACCACCCCCTCGAGATTTGTCACTGCCCCCTCGAGATTTCTCGCTACCCCCCTCCAGATTTTTCACCCCCACCCTGGCCATCATCTCCCATACTCCCTGATCCAACTCATGAGGATTCAAACACCGACACAGAATTCACTGATGTGAGCGAGCATTGCTATTGCACGTTCCATTCAAAGTTAAATGGTAAGTTTCATTCAAGTTTGAATACTCCATTTTTGACTCAAATATATGCTTAGGATGACCATGCATGGCTGATGGGACATTTCTGCTGCATGGTACCCCTCCAACTCCTGTGCCACTGAAGGCTCCTGATGATTGGAGCCCATACTGCAATGGAATTGAATTTGAGGCGGCAGAGTTCGCATTCAAAAGATGCCACATGTCAGCAAGGAATTTGGATTTCCTGTGTGACTTGATGGCTGCGACACTTGCGAAACACCACGACACCCCTCCATTTGCTGATCACAAAGATCTGCACAACATCATAGATGCAACGCAGCTTGGTGATGTCCTTTGGCAGTGTTTCTCTGCACAATACACAGGAGAACGACCCAAGGTTGTCCCACCTTGGATGGATGAAGAATTTGAGGTCTGGTATAGGGACCCTCATGCAATGGCGCACAATATACTTGCTAACCCTACCTACAAGGACAAAATTGACTAGGTGCTATTTCGTGAATATGATGCATCAGATGAGACATGCTGATGGAAAGACTTCATGTCCGGAGACTGGGCATGGCAACAGGCAGTACGTCCTCCATCTCTTTCTGGTATTGCTCATAATATAGCTAATATTCCATCAAGGACACCATATTGCAAGATCCAGAAACACATGGATCTGCTTTGATCCCAATCATTCTCAGTAGTGACAAGACTACTGTCTCTGTGGGCACTGGTAATAATGAGTATTACCCCCTCTATGCCTCAATCGGTAACATATGCAACAATGTACGACATGCGCACCGTGATGCTCTTGTCATCATCGGTTTCCTTGCCATACCCAAAAGTACATATGTTCATATTTAAATTTCATTATGCCTCATCTGACCTGTCTTACAGCTGACAAGATGCATTCGAAAGATGACTTATTTCGGATATTTCACCACCAGCTGTTCCACAGCTCATTGTCTGTGATTCTCTCCAGTCTAAAACCTGTTATGACTGAGTATGAGGTTGTGCGCTGTGGAGATGGACACTTTTGGCGCATCATATATAGTCTAGGACCATACATTACAGATTACGAAGAACAACTAGTGCTATCCTGTATTGTCAAACATTGGTGCCTGAAGTGAGTATTGGCACTTGCAGTCAGTATCCATTCACACTAACAATTCGTGTAGATGCATTGGAGTTCACACAAACCTTGATGGTGATGCCACCTACCACACCTGCAAGTTTACTGATTTCTTAATCAATGAGCTACATGCAGATGTATTGTGGGATGAATTTTGTCTCATTGGTGATCTTGTCATGAGTTGAACAAGCCGCTCTCCAATACCAGACTAATCTATTTTGTGTAGCCATTCACTAATGACTTCCCCTGAGCTGACATTCATGAGTTGCTGTCATTTGACCTCCTCCACCAGCTAATTAAAGGGGCTTTCAAAGACCATCTCGTTGATTGGGTAGCAAAGTACCTCAAGGCTGTGCACAGGACCAAACAGTTAGAGGAGATCATGAGTGACATAGATCGCAGGTATGTCAACTTACTCATTTACTCAACAATATTATCTAACAATAAGTCAGAGTTGCTGCTGTACCATCATTCTCTGGTCTACAACATTTCCCTCAAGGCCATGATTTTAAACAGTGGACTGGCGATGATTCCAAAGTGCTCATGAAAGTGTTTCTTCCGGCTATTGAAGGTCACGTACCTCAAGACATGGTGCGCGTGTTTCATGCATTGTTAGAATTCTGTTATCTTGTCTGGCACAATGTCATTACCAAAGATACACTGATTCAGATTCAAGACGCACTTGGTCGTTTTCATCAATATCACACGATATTTGAAAACATCGTTCCCACCTTCTCACTCCCCCATCAGCACTTGATGGTTCATTATGTCAACATGATCAGACTCTTCGGTGCCCCTAACGGACTGTGCTCATCGATCACAGAATCAAAGCACATCAAGGCCATAAAGGAGCCTTGGTGGTGGTCGAACAGGCACAATGCTCTTGGTCAGATGCTTGTGACCAATCAGTACCTTGATAAGCTCACAGCGTCCCATGCGGACTGTGATGCACGAGGGATGCTCACTGGCACAATTTTATCAAGTACTTTAGCTGCTCTTGGTAAGTCTGTTTAAGGTTTCTTTCTCAAATTTCTCGCATACTCAACAGTCATATACAATGGCAGATGAAAACAAACCAGACGCCCCTGCTATTGCACCACAACCAGATGCCCCCGTCATTGAACTGCAACAAGTGGATGATACTGATGATGCTGAAATAGTTGACAGTCCAACGGTGCTCGCTTATGTGGCACTTGCCAAAACTCCTTGTAAGTAATCTCATGCAATGTCCAATCTCAATGCTCACCACTGTATCTCACAGAATGAAAATGGGCACAGACAGTAACAGCATTGGCACATGAAGTTGCTGTTCCAGATCTATGACGCCTCATTCGGTACTTTCTATTCTCTCAGCTCAACCCGGATGATGCCCACAACCCCAAAGATATCCCAGCTGCTAGCTTGCCTCGACATGAAGGCAAGCTTCAGGTCTTCAATTCTGCTGCTGCAATGTTTTATGCTCCCAGTGATCTGAGTGGCATTGGTGGCATGCGATGCAAACATATCCATGCATGTCCACTCTGGCGAAACGAGTACCCACGCAATGATTGCATGTTCATTAACACTGATTCAGATGCTGAAGGGATGTGAGGACTCAAAGTTGCGAGAGTCATATGCTTCTTTTCATTCAAGCACAACTGGGAAGTATATCCTTGCGCTCTCATACAGTGGTTTGAGAAGATTGGTGACTGCCCTGATGAAGATACTGGCATGTGGATGGTCGCTCCAAGTTTTCATGAGGACGGCTCGAGGAACCTTGCTGTCATTCACATTGAGACAGTCTTCCATGCAGCACACTTGATAGCTATCTATGGTTCAGAGTACATTCCTCACTCCCTCAAGTTTTATCATTCTCTTGACATTTTCGGCTCATTTTATGTCAACAAATATGCTGACCATCATGCATTTGAGATAGTGTCCTGACTGGATTACATAGGTGGGTTCTCAATCCAATTCTCGGTCCATTGCTAATGGTCAGGTCCTGGGACATCACATGAAGAACACCCAGTCGAAACTTGCGCAGACGCTGATGCAGTACCCCTGGTCCTGTTACAGACGTGATTACCCCCTATCCATTTTCTCTCTTACTTGTGTATTACGTCATGACCGCACTTAACCGTGCCATCATTAGACCAGCTGATTGCCATATTTGTATTACATCATGACCACCACGCGCCGTCGCTAGATGACTCAGTTCTCTTATCTCTGACTCGATCGATGACGCATGCGTCATGACTCATTCCTCTTATCTCTGACTCGATTGATGATGTATGCGTACCTGCCCTAAAGTACCTATGTCTATATAAACACAGTCATGTACTTAGCTAGACTTCACTTTAATCTACTAGGTCTTACCTGAATTATCCTTCACTTAGGACCTCCAATCCTAAGTCGTCTGATAACCGATATTCAAGCCAGAGACACTCTCTTCGACTTGTCTTAAGAACCTTACATTTGTAGGGATACGATCCGGCTTCAGGTGATACTCTTATCGAGTACCTGTCGTCGTGCCCATCCTAGTCGACTTACGGTTCGCCGTAACAGGTCCTGTTTCTGGAGAACTTCATATCCTTCCTATTCCCTTGTTCGTGCAACCCATTACATCAACTGTCCAGGTCAGCTCCTCTGAGAAGGAAAATTCAGGCAATGTCAATGTTTGCGCAACCCATTACATCAACCCCATTGAATGAGTAAGTTCTCTTCTATCCTAGTTTATACAGCTGGATTGATGAGTTATAGACCTGCTGGATTTGATGGTGATGACATGCTTACAGTTGTGAAGCAATATTGGAAAGACTCATATGGGAATATCAGGCAAGGACCTCGCCCTCATCCTAATTTTGACCAATAATGACTGGATTCTATAGATATCCTTATGATTCATCCACAGAAAGTAATACTGTCGAGCTCATTCATGACACGTTCCAAAGTCTCAGTGATTGGGATGGCTTTATGGTCGATGGATATGACAGCGTCACAATAGACACTCACATCTACCAGATGTTTTCAGATGAGGTATGCACCCTTTCTTCTGACACAACAACATATTAATGACGTGAATAGCAAGTTGCCTACAACTATTCCCAACACATCAAGGAGGCATGCAGTCATGGGTCTAGCCTCTCGCCATCACGAAGCTGAGTCTCACCATCACCACCACGAAGCTGGATCTTTCCTCAGGCATGTCCACTGTGCCATCATGGCCCTTGGCTTATGGGAAGGTCATGCTGTTGTGTTCGTTCTCAGTGAGTGCTTACCTTGTACCGCTAAAATTTCTCTGATCTTCCTATTCCCTTGTTCATGCAACCCATTACATCAACCATCCAGGCCAGCTCCTCTGAGAAGGAAAATTCAGGCAATGTCAAGGAGCTTCTTCCTGATGGGTCCATCTTGTGGGTCTATCACCATCATGAAGCTGAGTCTCACCATCACCACCACGAAGCTGGATCTTTCCTCAGGTGTGTCCACCATGCCATCATGGCCCTTGGCTTATGGGAAGGTCATGCTGTTGCATTCATTCTTGGTGAGTGCTTACCTTGTACCACTAAAACTTCTCTGATCTTCCTTCTAATTGACCTTCCTTCCCAAAGCGTGTCGAGCTGAAGCACTTAGAGCATGAGCACCAAAGGTTATTGCAATGGAAAATGTTCAAGGATCGAATGCGCGCACTTGAACAACAGCAGGTGCAGGAGTTGCTTAGCATTCATTATGACCCCACTGCCTCAGCTCATCTTGCAGTCTCAGCGCCCAGAGACCCTTTCTAAGGCTGTCAGTTCTCGAGGACAAAGTCCAGGTGGCTTATGCATCAGCAATGCACAGTGTCATTCAAGGAGGTCGTGTCCTCTATGGACTGTAAGTTGTTCACCCTCGACGCAGCCGAATGTGCTCCTGCATTTTACTCTAAACTACTAACATCAACCAAAACACTAGTTTACAGGTCCATCCCGCAGCTCCCAGACACCAAATCACCAAGACAATAATATCAACTTCAAGATTGGTAAGTTTGCAGCTCGTCTGCTGTAATATTTCCACTCACCTTAACCTGCAGTCACACTGCACTCGCATTCAGTTTTGACCCTTGCACCCCAAGACCCTCTTCAGTCTCTCCCACAACCCCAGTGGGACCTCCAAGTCCACCTGCCATCCCACATCCTCATTCACCTCTGCGAGTGCACGAGCGGCAGCCTCTGTCCACCAGCATTTTCGCTCCTGCCCACAACACACGTTGGAGTCCATCGATCTTGGTTTATCTGTCATTCCAGCGTCATCAATGAACAAACAATGAGCCAAAGCCTGAGGACGTACCAGATCACGCTCAAGATCTTTGTTCAGACAAGTATAGAGTTCGAATCATGAGTAGTAGTAGTAGATTGATAATGATGTATTGCAACTTGCAGCACTTGTTTCAGTGTTGGTAATTGATCTTGCCTTGCACTGCTTTTCGACACTTAAATTCCACGTGCTTCCTTACTTGACTTGTCAAACTCAAAGCAAAGTGAATAATTATAGATAAGTTAAAAATAAGTTTTAATTTTCAAAATAAGCTGCACTAAGGAATGTGTGAATTTACTGATGACTTGGAGATCATGTTGCATGCACCAACTGCAGTGCACATCTTTGCTGTGATTCAAGGAGCTTCCCACCACCAATTGGTTGTGCCTATGATACAAGTTACAATATCAGCCATAGTCTATGAAGTGGTCAGGGAACCCATGTGTGCTCTCGGATCATTGACATCAGAGTCTCTAGTTGTGCTATACAAGAACTTGGGTTTTCTATTCAAAGAAGCTTTTCATCCCTAGCATCAGGGATGGGCTGAAAATGCCACAAAAAGAGAGGAACCATTAAATCTGAGGGGAGTGACCATGCTCTTTGATTGCCTATTCCAAAACTCCACCCCAACATCCACAATAGTAGGAATGCCAGCTTGTACAGCACAAAAAGATGCAGCCCACAGAGAGGTGTGTGTCCTCTGCAGGTACTTTGATTTCTCTTGGGGAATGGCAACAAGGCGATAGCCACAGAGGTGGAGATAGTGGAGTACCATCAAGGCTGCTTCATGACATAGTCTTGAGACCAATCCAAGGATGATGAGGTCAAAAGGGGAGAGATACCAGGTGATGTCTTGCCAAAGCTCAAGAGGCAGCATTGGGCAAATGGTGCTGTGTGATACATTGTCACTCCTGTCAGCTCTCTGAGTGAGTGATTTCTCTGCTTTAATGTTGATGTACCATGCATAATGGCAAACCTCCACAGCACGCTTGAAGAGTGCAGGGTTGATGTGATAGCCAAGATGGGTGAGAGCAGTGATGCCTGGCATAGAAGGTGAATGTGCAAAGAATGATGGTAAAAATTGGAGAGCACTCATGTGGCTAAATGTTGCTGTGTGTGTGTCTTTGATGACTTTGACGATTATGCAATGAAAGACAGAAAATGTGATTCCAAAGCAATGACCAGGATTATCCTTCTGCTCCACAATTGTGTTGATCAGGCATGATACAGAAGCCTGTAGGCATCACTCATCATATAGATGTGTTGCAATGCAGACAACAGTATCTTCGTGAACCCATGTGAACTCCTGTCTTTTCAGCTCAGGATGGTAAACACACCAAATGTCATCAAACATCTGAGGAACAAGCGCAACATTGGCCATGAAGCATGCAATTGACCATTGACCATCCGTGACCTGATTGTGGTCATTTAAAAGCTCTATTTCATAAATTTCCTTGCCAATGGCTGGGTTAATCATGCACTGCCCAACCATGACCTCTAGCAATGTGACTTGAACATGCTTGTCTTCAGACAGGATGTCACTTTTGGCAAGCAGATCGCTCAAAGCCACTTGTGATCCAGTGCACATCAAAGACTGGTATGTCATGAGTTCAGAATTGTTGACAACTGATGGTGTGGTGTAGAGAATGAGATTGCTCTAGGCATATATCGCCCATATTTTGACTCATGATGATTGGTATAGTGCACAACTCACTATCTATAACTTTCCCACAAAATGCGCCAGAGGTGCGATGCTTTCCCACACTATGCAACACATTCCTGCACACGCACTTAGCATGCTCTTCCCATGCTTGGTCACCCTTTGTCATGCAGCATCCCAGAGCATCCATCCATTGTCCAACCAGTTCCCTAGTGAGTCCTTTCTCATTTATTCTCATATCAGACCATATTTAGCATCATACAATATTTATTTCATCATGGACCCTGTCCTTACATCATTTACATACTTAGAGTGCTCCCTATTTGCTTCCGAGCCCTGGGAGTGTGCCTAGGCACAGCTTACCTGTTGCCTAGAAAGTTTTCATACAACAACCACCACCATCCAGTAGTGTCTAGCAGTCAGAATTATCATGAGTTAGCATCCATCAGAGTCATCACCCTAGTCCTCAGCCCAGTCTACTATCATCAGTCTCCACTCAGCAGTCTTAGTTCACACCTATCATCATCTTTTACATGTTTGCGCACTGCATGTGCCTTATTCCCATGCTTTGCGCTCCTACACACTCAACATTCCCATGTGTGCACTCCCAGTGCACTTCACCAGAGTTGACCTGGTGTCACTTTGTGGATCTTGCTTTCCTTGCTTCCCTTAAGGGTCAAACACATCACTTGGCACACTTCAACCAACACATTTAGAGAGTTAGTAGGCTTTCTCTCACCCCAGAGGTAGAGCCATTCTTTCTTTCTTTAGCTCTGCAACTCCAGCAGAGTTGTTGAACCTTCAGTGGGCTTCTTGTACTTGTGCTCAGGGGGGCATCTCAATATGCAAGCTGTGTGGCTGTAATGATCTTTGGAGATATGATCTTTGGCGGTGTCATCTTCAGACATGTGATCATCAGTGATGTATTGGATAAAAGTGTTATCATCTGGAAGGCATTCCAAGGAGAAGAAAGGCATGCCATCCAGGTAAAAGATATTGCAATCAAGGTCAATCTCATAGGTCCAGATGCAAGTTTCTGGCGGGGACCAGGAGGGGGGGTTGAAATCATCCCCATTTTCTATCAGTAATGGGGAATGTGAAGGGCTCTTCAACCTGTCCAACATCTCTCCAAACACTTGTCAATAGGTTGTGATGGCATTGGGTTGTCATATATTTTAATGCTAGATACTGCATAAGCCCTCAGTGTGATGGAACAAACTATATTGAATACCTAGATACTGTGTAAGCCTAAGCTGTAGTCAGTATCTAGTGGCGGACCAAATAATAAAAAGGCTTACCCTCAGTGTGATGGAACAAACTGAGGGAAGGTGAGAAAGAGAAGTGGGATATATATATACATGGAGGTTCGAATTCCAAACAGTCACAGGTTCCTGTCATTGTAATGCATTATTTGCTGTACTTGTAGCACACCTGTGATGCATTCTTGCTACAATTGTAGCACTCTCCCCTCCCCTGCTAATATATGGTGCATCACTTGTGCATCACCCAATGCATCTTTTGATGCATCCTACCACCGCATTTTTTAGACTGTGGGAAATTTGCACTACACCCAAAACATAGCCATTTCCGGTCATCTCCTGGATCTCAACATTTCCCACACTCCTCCTCAGCACATTCCTGTCCACCACCATACCATATCCACCTATCTACTGTAGAGAAGTATTAGTGTATGCTATGTATATATAATAGGCCATAATAGAACGCTTTTTGGTTTGTTTTTGTCCCAACACAAGCTCCAGAGACCTGTACATTTAATACAGGAAAAACATATCAAAAACACATCCGCATTTTTCCCCCTTCAATGATAGAATGTCTTAGCACACTAGATATATGTTTCTGAGTATATATGAGTCGATTCCACCGCTCGTTTGGCCCTCCAAAGGTCCCTGCAGCACTAAATGTAGTATGCACACAAAAAATAACAAATAGCTTCGCTTTTTTTCAGTTTTAACTATATAGACTTGAAAATATGATCCCCAACATCCTTTCAATAGTATACACAAGATATGAGCAGTATGGGATCATAGGTTCAGTCCCTGGGGTGCTGTATTGCTATCCTCCCCTGATGGTTCATCTCCTGGGAAAATTTTCCCTGGGGCTCCGACCTTCCAGAGATGTAGGGATTGTATTTCTAGGTGTATATGGAGTATATATATGTTATAAATATAAGCCAACAGTAGCAGGATCCTCCTTTATAAACCAATACTTCCTCCTGCTTGCATGGGTGTATATTTTCGCAATTTTGATGGTTATACTTATTCACCACTGGAATGATTACCTAGCAGGCTCATATATATTATATAGGGTGTATATAAAGGCTAACTATGGCCAAGATCAGTGAGAAACAGGGCGGATTATTGATATCATGTACATACTAGATATATTGAGTGATAAGGTATTTTACATGTCATCAGGGAGATATTTTATGATCAGACTGTTGTAGTACATCCTAAATACACTAGGAAGTATTGTCCCAGTGTTACAGGACGATCCACCTAGAATTGAGAGCAGGGAAAGCATATAGATAAGAATTGGACTGTGGGAAACCTAAAAGGGCAAAACATCGAAAATCAACACTTGGGTGCACATACAGTTAAGGCCTCCAAACAACCCACACTCACACAACAACCCTTCCACACCACCTCTACCCATAGAATAAAGTGCAGGAAAGGTTCTTTGAGCACTCTACTATGTAATATACTGACTTTTAAGAAAATCCTTACCCTGTATATGCATCAATTATGACATTTGTAGAGTATTTCTCGTGCAAAAATAATATTTCACTTGCCTATTCATCAATTGTGGGTGAGCGGCCCTGTGCTCCTGAGATATTGTGTATACTATTGAAAGGATGTTGGGGATCATATTTTCAAGTCTATATAGTTAAAACTGAAAAAAAGCGAAGCTATTTGTTATTTTTTGTGTGCATACTACATTTAGTGCTGCAGGGACCTTTGGAGGGCCAAACGAGCGGTGGAATCGACTCATATATACTCAGAAACATATATCTAGTGTGCTAAGACATTCTATCATTGAAGGGGGAAAAATGCGGATGTGTTTTTGATATGTTTTTCCTGTATTAAATGTACAGGTCTCTGGAGCTTGTGTTGGGACAAAAACAAACCAAAAAGCGTTCTATTATGGCCTATTATATATACATAGCATACACTAATACTTCTCTACAGTAGATAGGTGGATATGGTATGGTGGTGGACAGGAATGTGCTGAGGAGGAGTGTGGGAAATGTTGAGATCCAGGAGATGACCGGAAATGGCTATGTTTTGGGTGTAGTGCAAATTTCCCACAGTCTAAAAAATGCGGTGCATCGAATGCATGACCAATGGCATCACAAACGCATCAACAGATGATGCATCGAATGCATGCATCGCCCTATATTGCTGCTAATGCATCAGTATTGGCAGGCCTACAATTGTAGCATAAATGCATCACTACTAACGCTGCAATCACAGCAATTTCTTGCATTACTACGACAAGGACGCCTGAAACAGTGACTCCGCTCATTGCATCGTCATCGAGCGTAGCACCAATAATATAAGTTGAAGCACTTTTAGGCCGAGCCATTCTGGATAACCATCAGAATTGTGGTGTGATTTGAAATACATATTCCGATAGCGGACCGCGTGGTACCCGTTAGTACCCATGCCTGCAGTAAATCAAAGAGACCTGGACAGTAGTCTCAAGCGTCAACTTATGTTGATGGTTCAAGTTAGTGTAAGAAAAAACTTGATTGGCTTACGATGGATGATTTTAAGCCAGGTCATTATGTAAGTACAAGATCTGGCCGCTGAGTCCAAAGGTGATGTATAGACTTATGATTGAATATTGACCGGCCGTCAAAGTGTCAGGTAACCAAGGTCAAGTATTGACTAGTTTGAATTTGTTTCGTGTGGTACAACAAGAAGAATAAGCTATTAGATAGTATATCATTAGAACAAGACAAATACGACTTTCAGCTCCGGATACTCAAACACCATAGAAGAAACGCCAGTAACCTGGAAGTAGATGGCTGAGCGCGTACCACAACTGTTATGAGTCCATTGTCAGTTTCACCTCAGTATGCTCCCAAGTAATATTTCGACTCACGCTATAAAATTTGCAGGACTGCTTGTCGGCGCCCACCGTGCCGTACATCACGAATCGGGTCCCCACATATGCTCCGTAAGCCACAAATGCAGTGGTAGAGAGCGCATCTAGCTTCCAGATATGGCTCAAGACAAATGACCAGAGGGGAATGCCGAGCATCATTGAAAAGCGTGCGGCTTTAGGGAAGATTGTGGGCAGGGTGCACCTGCCAGTGAGGCGATCGCCCTCTTCATCCTTGAAGTCTTGCGCATGAAGCGTAGTCGCAAAGACTGCCGAGCTAAGTGCAACCGCCAAAGCACCGACTTTGTCCATGCGTGAGTTGCAAGAACCTGTACGCTTGATCAGCAAACTGATAGATTGTCTGCAACTGGATAGATTTACCGGCAGCAACGGTTCCTCCAACCTCCAGACACCCACCGAGGATGGCTGTGAGTACATTCTTTGATAATCCCATTTTATCACCGTGAAGTTCGTTGTACCAGATCGTGAACACCGCAAAAACGGTGCTGGCCAGCAGAGCCTGAGTGCCATACCACAACGACAGCATCAAGCAGACTGGGACCATCACCCAGCGTATATCAGCTGCGCTGTCGACAGAAATGCGACCAGCAGGTATCGGACGGGAGGGCTTGTTCTTGCGGTCCTCCTCCGGATCCTGGATCTGGTTGGCAATATCGAACTGCAATAAGTGGAACCATATCCACAAAGGAGCATTCCAAGCGTGGATGGGATCATATCTGGGAGCCGCAGATAATGCAAATATGGTCTGAAAAGTGTAATTGAACGAGGGGGCGAGACACGTATTAGTTGTTACATACGACAGGTATCAGAGTGGTTCTGATATCATTTTGTGTGAAAAGAAAGATCGTCTCGAGATGACGAGCGATGCTATCAGTGCGAGCAGTGAGAGCTTGAGAGAACATGGCGAGTTTTTTGAATGCCCAGGTTGTGTGCCGGGTTCAGGCCTTTATACCTTGAATTTGTGCTTGAACGAAGCACGAACCGGCATGGCAAAAGTCATGCCGGGAGTTTACAAGAACTCAAAGACTGCTTCCAAAAGTTGCTGGATTTCGAGACACCAGACGGGATGTGAATCATTGGTCCCTGAGTCAAGGCTGTGAAATCTAATCTTTTTTTGGTAGGGAAATATACGACGCCGACTTGAAAGAGTTCTATACAGAAGTTGCGGCTATCCGTTCGTGAGAAGTGGCGCTCTTAACTCTCGGAATGCCCCTGAGCCGTCATAGCCAGAGATAGCCCCAGATTTGACAGTGTTCGAGAAAATCACTTTATATGGGCAATACGTGCTACCCGGTAGATAAGCGAAAGATTAGAGCGCTCACTACGTAGCATCTGACCCGCAATATGCCCACATTAATTGCTACCCTGTGGCTATAATTGGTCAATGATTGGTGGCATCAAATTGCAGATCGCACTCACTATCAGGAGAAGATCGCCCATACTCTGCAGAGCTTGAAAGATCACCAGTGTAGTACACTCGAAGACTGCAGATATCGAGGACTGATGCAGTTGTACTATGGGAAGTCATCGGTTAAGCAGTTGCTCGAGAAGTCACGAATGTCACGATGCACAATTCCATGGGTCATTGATGCCACGAAATGGCGCTCGGCTTGAGATACCTCTAGGCACCCCGCGATGTGATACAGCCATGCTTTCCACGATAACATTAAAACTCGACGCGAGCTTGTAGTCAGCATAGCACTGGCTTCTGAGTCCGACGGGACGCCAAATAACGGCTCAAGTTCCGTGCGAGCTTACAGGCTGGATAGCGCTGGTTTGAATGCACACGTTCCACTGATGAATAATTACGAAAGCGTGCTGGAAATGGCTCCCGGCTACCTCGTGGTGAGATTCTTGCGGTACTGTGAACCGCCACCCCCAAGTCAAAGGTCGACTCGATCCGCCAGCATCGACAAGGATCAACGCAACTGCAACGTATTTTGTTGCACTATGTAACCAATGAAAGCTGAATTATGGCAAATGACTTATAACAAGATACGCACCACAAAATACTCTTGTCTGTGAGGAAACAATCCACCATAGGTTGTCGCCCGAGATTTCCTATAGCTAGCCCACAGTCAAAGTAGCCGTGACGAACGATATTAGAGTCTTAGTAGGTCTTAGTGATCAACTTGCCTACGAGGCGATATGCGCATTCGCGACAGATTGATCTCCAGTCCAGTCAAACATATTGACACGATGAAGAGAGATGTACCACGGTTCCTTGTAACTGGAAGCTTGAAGAACGAAAGTAAATGGAGGATGGGTTGTCGCTCTCACGCAAATCGATGGTCCGTGCACGCTCAGCCCAATATAAAATCCGACCAGATAGGAATTGAATTCTTCATACTTACCTTGATGGCACAGGCCTCTTCACGTCTCAGGTTCGTGGGCCGTGGAGACCTTTCATAGCACGGCGACCTTGTCCTCAGAGGGTGTTTGCGGTTTGTATGGGCTTCGGCTCATGCATCGTCTCAATATTTTCCCGTCCCACCACGGCCACTCTGGCTGGGTGGGCCTTTCTTTTTGCTGTCTGGCCGTCCTGACCCTAACCCTAGTTTGCTGTATCGAGGGGCGGGCTGAAGTCATTGACTCGTACACGACATCGTCAGCCACTTTGCACGAGTAATCAAACTGCTTAAGTTTCCTCAGTGTCCATTTTCCGGATGTCCTCACTCAAATATCGTATTAAAAATGTAATGCATTATTTAACATTGGCTTAGAAGTTCTGGTACCTCAGTTACCAAGTGCTAGTGAGTACTTGAGTGATGTTCTATTTGTAATGTTTGCTCGGTTGTGACTCGACATGGTCATATCGTCATGCAAGTGCTACATATTAAACCTGTCCCTCGTCCATGTCTTGCCAGAACGTTTATGCATATGAGCAGCACCACGTTGTAGTGATACTGGTGCGTCCGGATTCATACAAGCTTACAGTCACGTGGCGGCCTGTATAATTTCATTCAGACTCCCATTTCCTGAGTTCGAGTGTAGCCGATCAAGGAGTGTGATTTCTGGGTTTTTCCGTCGTCTTGCTAGGTGGCTGTTGAGTCATAGAGTCGTCACTATTCCGTCTAGGTTAAACAATCCTACATGATTGTGCGTATCCATTGAGATTAGCAACGCCGTCGATTGGCAAGATCGTGAGTATCACTAGAGGCAGTCACATCGGCTGTCCAGTGTTTAGCGGCGGCAAGCAGTTTGAATCGAAGACTTGGAGCACATACAGGAGTCAAAGAGCCTTATTCCCTCACGTTGACTAATAAAAAGAAATTCACAACGTTTGAGATTGCAACAGCGTTGGGATTTACTGTTGTTCACCCCTGCCAGAGCCTCTGGGATGTGAGGTGTAACTTGAAGTCACCGTCGCGGAATTGCAGTTTGCGCGCACGCGGTCAGGGATGTCTTCTGGTGTGATTGCAGTTGTCGGTGCGGTGTCGCATTAGGCAAGAAGCTCTTGAATGAACCCAGTTTTATATAATCTTTGAGATCCAGGCGCAGGTTGATAGTGCGGCGAGGATTGAGGCGCTGAGCACCTATATGTGGAGCGAACCAGGGAAGCTGCCTGCCGGGCCTAAGGACAATATGCGCGGGGATAGTCCTCGTCTTCTAATACTTCATAAGGAAGCAGTTCTTCGCTTGATCGTGATTCGAGGTGGAGCTACTAAGGTAGCTTGAGATCAGATAGAATATGCAAATCGGCAATCATTTTTTGAAGAAGTTCTTCACCATTCTTGCTTTGCAAGTTTGACAGGCATTTCGCATGGTATCTGAGCGCGACGAAGTTTTCTATGAGTATCTCATGGCTCCATGACATTCGTCTCCATGACGTACGCTGTCCGACCTTCGGATTTGAACCACTTGAAAATTGTTGTTGTCGCGATATATGAATGGAAGAACTGAGCTCTATTTCGGCTGATTTTGAAGTTCCCAAATGGACGGCGTGGGAAATCTTGGCTGTGTCCAACAGTTGTCACTTGAAAGCAGTTTGAGCAGCTTGTCCTACCAAACGGCTGGGCATCTGCCAAGCTTCTGCTTTAACTGAATTTCTTGCCAATCTGTGAACTACTTCTGTGGCCCCTGTGCCCGCGCCTCTCATTTCTGTTCTACGTTAAATTTCAACTTGTATATGTCTGCACACGGCCACAAACATACGGGTTCCGTGACCCAGAACCACAAAGCTCAACTTGCTAATGCCTATAACGAACTCGGGAAGGAACTCTCATCGAGCAAGATAAGGGTTGTCGGAAACTACACCCTTGGAAAGGTCATCGGTGAAGGTATGGTTTCTGACTATCTTATTCTTGCTTTCCTATCCCTGACACACACCAGGCGCGTACGGCAAGGTTCGCTTGGGCACTCACCGTATCACCTCTACCAGAGTTGCCATAAAGCAAATTCCGAAGGCAATGTCTGCCTCCCTCACCCGCGAAATACACCACCACCGCCAGCTCCACCACCCCCATGTCACTCAGATGTATGAAGTCATTGCCACTGAATCTCACATCTGGATCGTCACAGAACTCTGTTGTGGTGGCGAGC